TATGAGACAAGTACAGTTAGCCATTAATAAAAGTGATTGTGTGCAAACTGATTAGGCACAAAGAGTGTTAAATACATAAGAAAAATTGGATAAAAGAGTGTATCCCCTCGTTATAATGCGGATTTTCTCCTTTAAAGAGAGAAATCATAGATTTTCCTCTTTAAGGAGAAAAACCCTGAATCTTTTAAACATGCCCAAGTAATGTCACATGAGGTTGAATGTTTAGTCTTCTGGTGATTTCTACCTTATCTATGCCTTTCGTTCTACTGCCTTTGACTATTGTAGTTCCTTAATCTGTGCTTGCTAAATTCCAATATGCATAAAATTGCAGAGTAGGATATGTCTGAGTCAATTGGATTCCTTCACTGTTTTGTGTTACACGCTGAGCACATACTTTGTCCAAGGCAAGGTTAGCTTGATTTGTTTTGAGGAGCTTCCCTATCAAAGAAAGGCAAGCTTCTTTTATAACAGACTCCCTGTGCCTGGAGAAGGGTGCTTGTGCCTGAAAGCTTGCAAATAACTTTTTTCCAACTACTCAGCTGGTCTGATAAAAGCTATCACATCTACCCAAAGAAGCTTGCCTGCCTATGTCCTTAGACCAACATGGCCACAACCAAAAATCCTGTCAAATAAAGGTATTTGACGCTAAGTTAGAGGACTGTGACTGAAAAGCTATCATGGAGCAATTTAGGATTATTGCCTTGGTTTGGCTCAACTCCGTTCGGGCTTTGTGGAACAATGGATTCTTTACATTGACACTAGATAGTGGTGGATATACTGCTCCTTTTCATCTTGCTCATGAGGCCAAAGGAGAGTGATTATATTTAATGTAGCATGCTTTTCTGATAAAGAAGGGTCATCCATTGCCACTGCAAGAAGAATGGGTCAGAGCAAGAGAAGACAGAAAGGACTCTGCCTGGCCTGAAATGCTGATATCAGGACTGTCCATTTTTTGAATGGCTGCAGGCCGCGTGCTACAAGACGCATGCCCCCTGCCCCCTCTCCTGGCATGGTGGGCCTTCCTGAAGTGCTGCACCACACAGTGGGCATTCCCTCATAGTGCTATGCTGTACAGCACTCTGGGCCCCCTGATGCCTTATCCCTGGCCATAGGCTACATGAGCCTCCTGGGTTGTGTTGTCCCAACCCCAGGGGTGGGGACAGGAATTACAAGCTGGAGGTGGGAGGGAGAGCTCAGAAACCCTGCTAACGGCGGTAAATGAATGCTGCGGGGGAGTGATACCCTGATCTTCCATAAGTGAATTCCTCAGGGGCTGGGTGCAGTCCACAGGCTGCTAGTTGGAGCCCTGTTGATTTAACCTGGCACTCAGAAATAGATAAGAACATGATAGAGAAAGATGTGTCACAGGACTTTGGTTATTTTGCAGATATCTATAATTCTCTAATTCTTTTTAATGGTAAAATGATGGTGGTAAAAAGCTTGTTTTGCTGAGGCCGTGTCCCTTGTTTATCTGCAATATTGTTCCAGAAGGGATTAAATTAGAAGCCAGAACCCAGCATAAGGTAGTGCACATGAGGAATATGTGCAAGCAGCTGAGGGGGCTAAGGCATTGCAGCAGCTTGACTGAAAAGTCCCACTTTTCAAGGAAGTGTTCATGCAAGAGATCCTTAGAATTCTAAAATCATAGCAAATTAGGGTTGGAAGGGACCTCAGGAGGTCATCTAGTCCAGTCCCCAGCTCAAAGCAGGACCATCCCCAGCTAGATCATTCCAGTTAGGGCTTTGTTGATCTGGGCCTTAAAAACCTCCAAGGATGGAGATTCGACCTTTCTGGGTAACCTGTTCCAGTGCTTTACTACCCACCTCGTGAGAAAGTTTATCCTAATATCCAACCCAAACAAAACTTCCCTTGCTGCAAATTGAGACCATTGCTCCTTGTTCTGTCATTTGCTCTCCAACTTGTCCACATCCTTTTTAGTGGGGGGTGCAAAACTGGACACAGTACTCAAGGTGTGGCCATACCAGTGCAGAATACAGGGGAATAATTACTTCCCTCGATCATCTGGCAACGATCCTGCTAATGTATGCTGTTAGCTTTTTTGGCAACAAAGGCACGCTGTTGACTCATACCCATCTTACTGCCCGTTGTAACCCCTGGGTCCTTTTCTGCAGGGCTGCTGCTTAGCTAGCCAGTTGGTCCCAAGCCTGTAGCAGTGCATGGGATTCTTCCATCCTAAGTGCAGGACTTTGCACTTGACTTTGTTGAATCTAATGAGATTTCTTTTGGCCAAATCCTCCAATTTGCCTAGGTCATTCTAAATCCTAGCCCTACCCTCCCACCTATATAGTACTCCCCCAGCTTGGTGTCATCCGCAGACTTGTTGAGGGTGCTCTCCATTCCATCTTCCAGATTGTTAATGGATATATTGAACAGGACTGGCTCCAGGACCGACACCTGGGGCACTCCACTTGATACTGGCTGCTGACTAAACATCAAGCCATTGATCACACTCCATTGAGGCTGACAATCCAGCCATCTTTCTGTCCACTTGACAGTCCATTCATCCAACCAACCTATACTTCCTTAACTTGCTTGCAAGAATGCTTTGGGAGACTCTATCAGAAGCCTTGTTAAAGTCAAGGTATATCATGTCCACTGCTTTCCCTGCATCCACAGAGCCAGGCATGACTTTCCCTTGATGAATCCATGCTGACTGTTCCTGGTCACATTCAGCATGGATTTACCAAGTGCTTAGAAATGGATTCCCTGAGGGACCTGCTCCATGATTATTCTGGGAACTGAGGTGACGCTGACTGGTCTTTAGTTCCCTGGATCCTCTTTACCTTTTTTAAAGATGGGCGCTATATTTGCCCTTTTCCAGTTGTCCAGGACCTCCCCTAATGACCATGAGTTTTCAGATAATGACCAGCAGCTTTACAATCGCATCAGCTAACACTCTGAGCACCCTCAGATGCATTGCATGTGGTCCCATGGACTTGTACATGTCCAGCTTTTCTAAATGGTCCCTAACCTGTTTTTTCACCACTGAGGGCTGCTCACCTTCTCCCCAAACTGTGCTTCCAGGTGCAGTAGTCTGGGAACTGACCTTGCCTGTGAAGACTGAGGTAGAAAGGGCATTAAATACTCCAGCCTTGTCCTCCTCATCTGTCATAGGTTGCCTCCCCCATTCAGTCTTGTTATTCATAAGTTTATTATTTTTAGTGATTATTCAAGCAGCTTTACCATGTGTTCAAATTTATTTTTAATGAGCTTTCCCATGTTCTCTGCTGTTGTGGGTTAGGTACCAGTTATCTTAATTCTAGTTTTCATTATAAGCCATTGTCAGATATGTATCCATTCTCTCCTTTAGCACTTTTATTGCAGCTTAGGCACTGCTCCATTTATTGAAGTCCTTCAAAATGATACTAAACCGTTGTTTAATGCATCAGCAACTGATCAGGCTCAAAGCAAGTACCAATTAACAGAAGCTCTGTGGTCCTCAGGAAATAGTTTGTGATGTAAAACACTCAAGATGTTATTCTTTCCTTTATAGTAAAGATAATGGTTTTCTTTTTCAAAGTTTTCTTACAGTCATTTTTGAGAAGAGACAGTTTCCCTGTATGTTTGGTTGGTTTAATTACTTTCTTGAACTGCTCTTTGGGGAGCTGACCTACTCAGGGATTGTCTCTTCCTGAGGGCAGTGATTCTCAACCAGGGTACAATGAGATCTTTTTAAGAATACCATGGGGTGCCATGCAATATTTACACTGTTAGGCATGCAGATACCTACACACAGTTCATGAGATAATCTCAGACATTGCAAGTGGGAATCTATTGTGTCAAAAACATTCTGTTTGTGGTCTTTCTGAGTTCTGTGCAACAAAGGAATTGTTCCATTATTTTCTCATAGTCAAGGGATGAGTGAAAGCCAAGAGCTGGCCTTTTCCAAGGAGTGACTTGCTTCCCAAAATGCTGAGAACCACTCTACTTGGGCTTTAATCTTGGGTAGTTTCTTTAAATCGGGGATGTCAAACTTATTCAATTCCGGGACTGGATTTGGACTGTGGAGCTCAGTGGGGATCAGATCAAATCTGGCGGCAGAAAGGCAAGTGATGTCAAGGAGGCATGGGGGTTAACAACAGCTGTCAGTCATTCTTCCCCACCCCCCATATACATCCACAATGGGGATTCATACCATGGATTTCAACAGCAGGCTCTTGAGGAGCCCCATTGGCCAGATGGCATAGCTCCATGGGCTGGGTGTTTGACACCCTGATCTAAATGAATACACAAGGAATAATGTGATCCAGGTTATTTCATTTACTGCAGGGGCATAGCATGCACATAGGCAATAATATTGGAGTGGCTGACAGTGCTGTCAGACTTGTCTGCATTACAGAGGTTTGCTGACAGATCATTGTTAGCTAGTGGTGTGAAAAAATCACTTTGTCTATCCCCAGTACGGGTTTAGCTGGCTGAAAGTGGGTTCTGTTGTTTGGGGGACCTGGTGTTACTTTGGCAGAAACACTTCTGCCAGCCAAGCTGGTGTCTTGGAAGGAAGCTAGTGTCCTTACTTCTAGTATTTCCAGTACTAGTGGCAGTTAAGGTATTCCCAAATTATGAATGTACTATTGCCACTTCTTCTGCTGACTATCTCTGGTAGCCTCATTTACAGAAAATTGCTTTTCAGCACTAAAAGCTATCCAATCCATAACAACCTGCCTCTGCCTGGTGAACTTTACTCTCTCCAGTCCACTGTTGCCTTCAACTCACTAATTTGTCTAACCTTTTAGGAAATGACAGAAAAGAAAACATTTACTTGTACTCTATAGACCTTTGTTGATGTTGTTTTTAGTATTCCTCCCTGACTATTGATTAACTCTATTATAGTAACTATGGATATGGACAGTGATGTACAGTTTCTGTTCATGGATCATTAGGTGCAAGGTGATGTTGCTGTTGCTTCTTTTCTGTCATCTTTTTGTGATTTTCTGCATCCTTCCCTGCTTTTGTTACCTTTTTGTTTTTTATCCTCCCTTCAAGAAATCTGGTAGCGCTGAAATACTGAGAGAGATGTAATTATAGCGTTTCCTGTTCTGCTAGTACAGTGGCATCCAACCTCCTGGCCCTGCCAACTGGATGAGTGGTGTGGGATCAGTGCATGAGGTCAGTCTGTAGGTACGACCCTGTGTGCTAGCCTGATTCCCTTGTGCCTGGATCTGACTATGCCTGGGACTCCCCACAGTCTGCAAATCTGGTAGCAGGGAAGTGGCAGTTAATGCTGCCACTTCTTCCCTGCTGCCAAATTTCTGGACTCAGAGGAGCCTCATGGACCAGCCTCATGGACCTGCTCCCTCTGCAGGCTTCAGGTTAAGCATCTCTGTGCTAGTATATATCACTCCTTGGGATGCTTCTTGTTATAGTGTATAATTATGGACTGTCTTGCGTACTCTAATGTGACTTGGCAATAAATTAACTGGCTAGTCTATCATCAATTTAAGTAACTTCACATATTTGGGCTGAACAGCTTACACTTGCTTAAATATTATACAGTGAAATGATAATTAGGGAAACATGTCATTTTTTTTCCTGTTGTGGTGTGGGAAGCTTGTGACAGTCTATTTTTGTTACTTTTGGACTTTCTACCTCCTGAAATACTGCATTAGATTTAAATTGGAACTGTGATTTGTTTGCTTGTTTACAAGCTGTAGAATTGCTCCATAAGTATTATGCAGCTAATTCTTAAAATTGTATAAGAACCAAATGTAAAGAGTCAGAAATGTGATGAATATTGAAATTAAGTTATTAGATACTAGATAAAATGCTAGTGGTGATGTCTCAGTTTGGAGGATTGGTTGAGTTAAAAAATCTTAAAACTGAGACAAGTTAAGAAAGTATTCAAAATACTGTTTTTCTTCTTGGCTTAATAAATTGTGGTTTCTTAAATAATAATTTACTTTGTTTCTCTTTTCAGGTTTTCTCAAATAATGATGAAGCCCTTATTAACAAAAAGTTACCCAAAGAACTTCTGTTAAGGTAAATCTAGATATCTTATGTTTAAAGAGTTATACATTTGAGCATCATATTCAGATCGTATTTTGATTTACAAAAACAATATTTTGATTTACAAAAATAGAAGTTACTCTTCATATTTTATTAAATCTATGGCTCAGAATAAATAGAATTTACCTGATTTTATTTAAGAATTCTTTAACTTCTAGCTCAACTTCTAGTTATAGTCTTAATGTATTTTAATGTTTAGAAATGAGGGTATACTGCTAAATTCTAGCATTCACATTGGTGGTTTTCTCTGCTTATTATCAGGTAAAACAGCAAAAGAATGTCTGAAAGCTGTTTGATGTATAAGATATAAGATTCAATAAAACTCTTCCCGGTCAAGTTATCTTCATAATCTATATTAGAACACTATCCTTTAATGTAACTCCTGCGGTAGTGCTTTTTGTTATGAAAGCTTATCTGTTATCTTTTAATAAAAACTCAATAAAAACATCAAAGTTTTCAAAATGTTCTTTCATTGAGAGATACTATCTGTAACTGTATTTTGTCACTCTGCTCTGTAGGGCACAAGCATACTGAGGAGTAGAGAGAAAAAAACAGATTTTGTTAACATGGTAAATTAGTTGGTCACAGATTTTACCTCCTTGCTGGAATGTTTCTAGATCATTTGTGTAGGAGTTAACTGTGATCATGTGGCTAAAGAACTGATGAATGTCTCTCTTCTCTTCTCAGTGGCATTTTATTTCTGTCAAAATTTAAACAGTCCAGCATGACAGCTTCCAATCTTGAGATATTTCCACTGTTGTTTGAAACCAAAACTAGTCTAAAATTGAACCAGCTTATGAACTAGTCTGTTATACTTGGTTTTAGTTTTTATTACAACACACTCCATGAACTAAAATGTCTGCATGAATTTTGGTGGAATTACTGTTCTTTGTATTGTGTCCCTAAAATTGAGTTTACAATTGTTCATACATTAAAGGTTTATGTGAATTAACTGCGGTTGTTACCTGCAACTTAATATGAAGTGGAACAATGTTTGTGATGATTGTTTGCTATCTTGCATTGAAATGAATTATCCAAAATATTATGCCCAGCTCAAATGGGCTTGGATGCTACTATGTGGCCTTGTACAGACATTCAGTTTCTCCTGGGAGAGTTGCTGCTCTCCAGGAGAAATCACGAGTGTACTGATATTCAGGCTTTTTCTCCAAGAGTAAAAATAACTGTTCTGGGAGTAAGCATGGTGAAGACCTTGAAAAACAAATTCCTAACCACTTCATTTTGTATAGCTGCGCTCAACACTATATATGGACTGCTTGATAAAATAGAAATGATTCTGTCTTCATTTTAGCAAATAGCTTACACCTGGCAATATTAAGTTGGGATTCATATGACTATTTCCCATTTCCTTCTTACTGTACTCCAGATGTAGTCTTTATTATGAAATGATACCTTCACTGTACCAGGTATCTTTTTAGTGCTTTTCCCACTCCTCAGAATTCCTTCCTTACACCTCTTTTCCATGAAGCAATGGCTTTATTCTCAAATAGTGTATAGGCTAACAAACCCAAAAGTCAATCTATCACTCCCAGTTTGTATTCTGTCTGTTTCACAGTATTGAAACAGTGCTGTTATAGGAAATCAGTAATCCTTTCCAAAAATGATATAATGTTGGTGAAAGTATGAAATGCACATAGCAGATTCTATAATTTCAAAGTTTGAAAATGGGTTTAGGCTATTCGGTCTTCTGAATGGTGAGTTTTCTGAATGCTACTTACATCTGTGGTGTTAATTTTTGTATTGTCATGAAGTATTACTAAACCACTAGAGACATCACATTGTTGTACTGATCATAATTAATACCCTAATTATTTTTACACAGTTAAGTATAGTGTTCATCCTTTTATTAATAAGAGTAAGCTGGTCTTGGTGGAAATACTTTGCTTGCAGTAGCAAAACTAATTGTTAAGTAATGCTCAGAAGAGTCATCAAATGCAGTCTTGGTAGTTTTCTGGAATTGCAGAGCGGGATTTATATTCCTATTTACAGCAATTTGATGTTGACAACACTTTATTTTTTCCCACATGTGCAAGAAAAGCAGTTTCTAAAAATAACATAATATTTTATTATATTTATATTTGATGCTGTAAATGAAAAACAATCTATCATTTTCTTATTCACATTTAATATTTTTAATGTAATTGCACCAAGCTGCTCCCTACCCCATTTATATTGACAATCCTCTCCTAATAAAGTACCTAAGAAAATTGTGTACTGTTTGATTTTAAATGTATATATACTTTCTAGTGTGTTGAATTGCAGTGAAAAAATAGCTATGTGATCTTGCTGTTACCCTCTTCCTTCCTGTTAAAGTGTGTCATCTAAAGTTAGATTATAAGCTCTTCAGAGCAGGATCTGCCTTCATAATTGTTCTGCAAAGCACCTACTGCACTTTTGAGTGATTATTGGAAAAGTTTACTGTTGTAGCAAGGGAAACATCTGTCTGAAAATGGAGGAAACCAAAAAAGATGATGACTTCATTTGATTCAGAGCATTAAGAACATGGCTGTCTAATGCAGGAATCAAGTGTCTCAAGAAAAGCCAAATTTTGTCTGAATTTTGTTTGTATCAGTGTCTTGCTTGGGTGGGGAGAGAGTTATTTTCATTTCACTTCGTTTGTATCTTGTTTTGTTTTGTATACCATTATTTTAGAACTGAGTTTTGGTACTTTAACTTTTATTCTACAAAGAAAATACTTTCCTTATATAAATGTTAATAGCTTCACAGAGCTGTTGTTCAAGCCAAAGGAAAAAATTGCCACCTCTTTCAGTTATTTCAGTGCTATTAATTTGTTAGTTGGCAGGAGCTACTCTTTTCTTCTTGCAGTTATATATCATGAAAAGCGAAAGATTGAATAAGTGTGTTAATTGAATAATGTTTGTATAAACTCCTGTAGAGATATCTTATGTCGAGTAATATAAGTAATGTCATCCTTTAACTGAGTTTTACATTTCACTTTCTAAACCTGTATACGTATGCTTAAGCATTATTTGATTATACAACTTTCCAATTATAGGCATACATCTGACAAATAGATTTGTTAATTTAAGACTACCATTACCAAATCACAAATCAAAATGAAGCTAGGTTTTTTCAAATCTAGAGATAGCTGCTTTTCCATTAAGATGACACAGTCTTCAATTCCAGATACTGAAGAAGTTGCTAAAAATTGTTAGTTTCAAGAGATTGATTTTTCTTTGGTAATTACTGTTGTGCATTGCTGGAAAGATGATCTGTTGGTCTTAATTAAAAAAGTGCTTAGAAATTTCACACTTTTTAAGCATTGTAATTTAAAATATAAAACAGCCTGGATGTGAAGCAGTGGTTCTTAGAAATATTTTAAAAATATAATGGAAGTTTAATAAATTATATTATTGTAATGGATATCCTTCTTTTCCTTAATTTGGAAAGCAGAAGAGAGATGGGTTACAAAGCATTTGTTACTACTTGAGCTGCCAACACTCTTGCTAATGGAAAGCATCAAAAAGACTTATAAAGTGGACTAATAGATTTTCCTCTGAAAGGTGTTTCCCCTTGCCCCTTTTAAATCAGTTTAGTCATGCAAAAATATGTGTATATAATGCACTAAACCTTTCAAAATGATTTGTTCTATATGCTGGGTATAAGATGGGTAGGTATTGTCATGTTATGCAACTTTACATACTTGGGTTAATTTTTTTTATTGAGCATATTAACTGATACCATGAAAATAAAGAGCATTCTAAATGTTTTATTTGTAACTTTTCCTTTATCTATTTGCTTGTATATTAACAATTTTCTCTAAAGAGAAAATGGAGAATGTTAAGTAATTTATTTTAGCAGTGGTGACTTCTCCCTTCCTATTTCCTAATAAATCCTACCCTTGCCTTAGAGAGTTCAGTAGTTTTCAGAGATTTTCCTAGTTTTTACATTTGCTTTTTCTTTTAATATGTAATCTTGAAAATAAAGAAAGGAAAACTAACATCATATCCGTAATAAAGATACCCTTTCCCTTGTGTTTCCTTGTGTTTCCTTTTCGTTACGCTCTTCAGTTTCTTCAGACTTATAAATTAATGATCTTTATACATTGTGCCATAGGCACTGGTTCAGCTGTGTATTCTGTGAAACACTGGGCTATCAAAAGGTAAGCAATCTGCAGTAGATACCCATGCTTGGATCACAGAATTAATGCATTAGACTCAAAATTTGAATTATCTAGTTAGAGGTTTGTGGGACCCCGATTCTAGCTGGTGGTGCCATTTTGCATGTGCAAAAGTATGCAACTCATGAACTGATTACTAACTGGTAGATATGCTTATATTTCTGTTCTCATTTCACATGATCATTTCCTTGTTGCTTTTTGTTTGGTTTCCCCTAGTGCTTTCTCTATTGAAAGTGATTCTTTATCATGCAAATTATTAATTTTCAATTGTTTCCTTTGTCTTTTCAGAGTCACATGTTGGGCAGGATACAGCAAGAAACCTGTCCTATCATAATACATTTAGTATTTTCTGTAACTTACATGTTTCCTGTCAGTACAGCACCTGTGCACCTTGTAATCTTTAATCTATTTATCCTTACATCTAGAACTGACTATTGTCTATAAAATATTTTTTTCCAAGTCACAGTTTTATTTATTTATTTATTTTTAGGATTTGTACTACTTTTTACTTTCGGAAATTGGATGAATCTGAAACCTTCGGAAATGTTTACACATGCAACTCAAAATAGCAAATAATTTTGTGGGAAACCCAGGTTCAGGTGCCTGTTCTGCCATTCTCCTGTGTCCCAGCAAGTGCCCCTAAGCCAATGTTGGGCAATTATTTCAGCTGGAGGACCACTTAATAAGTTTTGGTGAGCTGTTGAGGGCCGCAAGGGTACCCCACCTCTTGACAGGTGTCCCGCCTGCTGGTTGCCATCTTTGGGCCAGAAGTCCTGCCCCTAACCACTGACCTTTGCCACTGGATGTCCGTCAG